TAAAGAGTATAATCAAAACCTAATCTGTTTGCTGAGGTCAGTTCCGAGGTTGATGACCACTAATATCCTAAGAGAAGGGTTGCTACTGCTTCAGAACTGTAATCACTTCAGGCTGTTCTGTGTCCAATATTGATTGAGGTAATCTTGCTGTAATTTTGAGGTATTTATTTATTCATCAGCCATCACAAAGCTAAAATTAATTTTAATTCAATATTAAATTTAAAAATAGAGATGAAATTTTATTCTAAAAAGAGAACTTTTACCATGAAGTATCAAAAACTGGACAGTAAAGCTGGCCATTGGTGGCACACTTAATCCCAGCACTCAGGAGGCATAGGTAGGCGGATCTCTGTGAGTTCGAGACCAGCTTGGTCTACACAGAGAGTTCCAAGACAGTCTCCAAAGCTACAGAGAAACCCTGTCTGTCTTGAAACCACCTTCCCACAAATAAAGAAAAAAAAAAAGCTGGCCGGTAAAATAAAATAATGAGTTTGCTTTGTTTTCCAACATTCAAAATGACCACTACTATAATTTACTGCTGATGCTCACTTGGCTATATTTTAATTATAATTAATCCTTTTATAGATTATCTAAAATTTTTTAAATGAAATTTAAGCTTATTAAGTGAACTGAATTTTAGGTTTAATTTTAGATTATTTTTAATTATGTGTGTGTGTGCCTCTGCAGGTGAGTGCAAGTGCCCACTGAGGCCAGAGGTGGTGCATCCCCTTGGACCTGTCGCTACAGGTTGCTGTGAGACTGCTCATGTGGGCGCTGAGAATCAATCTAGGGTCCTCTGGAAGATCACTGTGTGCTCTCCATTGCCCAACCATCTCTCCGGCCCTAAATGCTAATGCTAAAGCTAAAATAACTTCAGATTCCCCCCCCCAATAACAGTAACTGTAATAATAACCATTAAAGTCTATTTCACTGTCCTATCACAAATTTGTGATGCGGACTTAATTCTTGGACTCCAGGGAAACTTTCAGATGATAGAAGTCCTTCATTCAGATGTGGGCAGCACATTTGGGGAATCTACAGGAAGCTGGATGCAGGAACAAGGTCCCTGACAGGATAGGCAGGAAGGAGAGGGGACAGAGATGGACAGGACAGAGGTGAATAACAATGGCTTATTGCGAGTTCCTGTTCCCCAAAGCGCTTTTTATCCTTTCGGAGGCTTCTTCCCACCCAAGCAATTTCCTTTTTCTGTCCAGAACTCTGAAAGAGTCATCAAGTTCAATTTGAAGCCTTCCTGTGAAACCCAAATAACGGGTCATTTTGCACAGCTTGGGAAAATAGCCACTCATTCTTAACGAGAAACAGAAAAAAAAGATCGGGTGAATTGTCATTTTACAGAAATGTAATGCGGATCCTGCAAAGCATGCATGGGTAACCCAAGCACAGCGAGCACATCTACCATCTGAGCACCCTGTTAGCCTTTCACATTCTCACCTTAAGCTGCTTATACAGCACCTCCACAGTTGTTCTGTGTGCTCAGAAAAGAAACTATTTTTCATGTCGCTTAGGCTTTATTGTATAGTGAAAATATTGGGAAGCCAACACCATGAGTTTGGCTTGAGGCTTAGAGGTTAGCTTAAACATTAGTCTTGTTGGTTTTAGGATTACTTTAACTCTAGGAGTGCAAGAGAGAAGCAAATAATGATGAGGGCTGGGCATTTACCAGGGCCTTAAGTGTGTGTGTGTGTGTGTGTGTGTGTGTGTGTGTGTGTGTGTGTGTAAATTTCAGTTAATCTTGTGAACTGTGTTATGAAAATAGCTATGATTATTCAGTATATACCATATGGTAGGTTCTAGGCTAAAAGTTTAAAATTATTCTCCTGTATAACCTCACAGTTATTCTGTGAGATAAACCTTATGCTTTAATAAAAAATGAAAGAATTGGGCCAGTGAGAAGGCTCAGCGGGTAGAGGCACTAGTTGCCAAGTATGACACACATCCTGCGTTCCACCCCCAGATCCCCACATGTTGAAAGGAGAGAATCTTCTCCCTAAGTTATGATCTGACTTCCATACACAAACAGCACGTGTGTGCACAGGAGCGTGCGTGCGCGCGCGTGCACACACACACACACACACACCCGTGTGAGAAAAGTATCTTTTAATAAATGAGAGGATTGAGGATGAAAACAACATTCATGAGAAGTCTAGGTTTGCCAGGTGGTGGTTGCAAGCCTTTAATCCCAGCACTTGGGAGGCCAGCCTGGTCTACAGAGTGAGTGCCAGGAGAGGCTCCAAAGCTACACAGAGAAGCCCTGTCTAGGTTTAAACTCCTATGAATGCTTTGTCTTATTTAGTCATTAAATTTTAGATTTTTTTCCCCTCAAGCCCAAGAGACAATTTTATAATTGTGATTGAAAAGGTACAGTGGGGAAGTCTTACCAGATAGATCCCTGCGGCGTGCTATTGGATGCTGTGAGTGGTAGTTAACGTGCAAGTGTTGAGTTTGTGGAACCTCACTGAGCTTTGCTGTGTCTGTGCTGTAATCAATAAATTAAGAGTTCACGCCTAATACAGAAAATGTAAAGCACAGACAAGCACAAGGGGAAAAAATCACTAGGCTAAGAAAATTTCATAGCCAGGCATGGTGGCACACACCTTTAGTTCCAGCACTTGGGAGGCAAAGGCAGGAAGATCTCTGTGAGTTCAAGGCCAAGCTGGCTTACATAGCAAGTTCCTGCCTAGGAATACACAGAGAGACCTTGTCTCAAAACAGCACACACACACCACACATACACAAACTCACTCAGAGTTATCACTCCTATATGAGTTATCACTCCTAGTATTTTGACTTATTCACTGTTATTTCTACGATATGGACCATCAATACTATTTTGATTGTAAATGTGTGTTCAAAAGCAAAGAAGTTATTGAATAATGGAGTTGAAAATGAATTAAAATAGTGCTTCAGTACATATTCATAGTAGTCCAGGATAGCTATATTTTTGGGAGGTATGTATGTGTGTGTGTACATGTGTGTATACATGTGTGTGAAATCTACAAGTATTCCTTCATTACGTCCACCTTCATTTTACTTATTTTAGTCTTGGAGTTCAGCATTTTGGCAATGAACACCCTGGATTCAGCAGCCTCCATGTGTGCATCCCCCACCGTCTCCCAGGCCTGGGGTTATAGGTAGATGCTGTCATGTGGGTGCTGTGGATCTAAACTCAAGTTTCTCATGGTTACATGGCAAGCACTTTATTGGTGGAAACATCTTCCTTGCCTTATTATCTATACATTTAATTATAGTTTATAATCTTTTATGGATCAATTTAAAGCAAAGGTCTTGTCTGAATTCCTTTAATCTCTCAGATGAAAATATTCTAGTTTTCTTAGTTTTCTGATACGCATAAGAATTGTTTTTCATTGAATTAATTAATCTTGTTTTTTCCTTTCTGAGACATGGTTTCTCTGGGTAGGCCTGGGGTGACCTCTGTCTCAGGAGTGTGCCACCATGTCCTGCTTAACCCCCCCTTTTTTTAAAGGTCACTGAACTAACAGGCAGCAATCTGGGTGCTAGTTTTGGCAGTAGTCAGTCACTCAAGGTCTCACTGAGGACAGTCTCAGTTTCTAAAGCTGAGTGAGAGGATGGGGCTGAATCTCCAAGGACATTTTACAGCCAAAATAATTTATGACACAAGGAATTTGGCCAGGCCTAGATCAACTTTTTATGACAATAAAGAATGAATTCACAAAGCAGAAACTGAAATTCAGTAACTGAGAGAAGAGGGCTTGCCATCGCTATTTGCAACCAGAGCAGATACAATGTATTTCCTGTCCTTTTCACTGGGCTCCATGGGAAGACCCGGGAGCAGAGAGAGGACGGGGACAGGATGTCCTGCCCTTGCAAGTCACTCACCAGCTTCTATCTTTACTTTTTTTCTTATTCCTTCTATGCCCATCGGAACAAAGCAAGATTTAAAGATTTCTTGTTAGAGCGACAAGTAATTACTTAATTTCATTTTCATTTCTTAAATGTTCCTCGGGCACCTTCCCGTTGGTGTAGTGATAAGCAGGGAGCTCAGACAGGGAGAGCACTGGCAAGGAAAGGACTTTGCTGTGCCTTTGGTGTCAAAGGTCAATTGACCAAGAATCTGGGAAAGTGACAAGTGAAGAGGGAGAGGCTCCTGGGTCTCACGAGAGCAGTGGAGCAAAAAAGGACTTTGTTTCCTCCTAGTGTAGCCCTTAGGGTCCCGTGACTCCTCTGTACATGTGTGTCAATCTCCTTTTGATGACAAGAACTGTGACATCTATCTTTATATTCCCGGCACGGAATATAACTGACAATAAAACACTTGTTCCCGGGAACTGAGTGAAAGCTGCCTTGTAAAGATGGGGAAAACGAGAAGGAACAGCAGAACTTGCTACTGGAGATCTCAAACTTTCACAGACTCCATCCTCCAGAGAAAGGGACCGGTATTTCACATTAAGTGTTAAGACTTGGAACTTTGAAGCAGCTCTCCAAAACGTCGAGTCTCGGCCGAGAGACAGAGGGTCAGAGCGCCTCTCAAGCGACACCGATCTGCCCACGAGACTGGGGAAAGGAGGGCAGGCGCCGCCGTGACCCATAGTCCCGGGGCTCCGTGAGAGAGCACCGACCGGCTAGCTTTGAGCCGATCTCTTAACCAAACGACCAGGAAGCCCTAAACTACGGGCAGTTGGGGCTGGCACTCGGCGCGATAACTTCCGCGTGTGAGTTTGCAACAGGGAGCGCCGCCCGCGAACTTCCGCGTGAAGGGAGCCCCGCAGGGCATCGCCCGGCCGCTCGGCGGGAGAGGAAACCCGCGCAGCCCCGAGGGGAAGGCGTGGTGAGGAAGGGGCGTGGCTCCAGGGCGGCCTCCGAGAGGCGCAGCCCCGCCGGCAGCGGGCTTCGCCACGCCCCGGGACTACAATTCCCGGCAAGCCCCGCGGGCCGCGGTTGACCCACTTCCCGGCCCGTCACGGGCTTCGCCCGGCCCCCGCGCCCAGGCGGCTGCTCCCTGCTGACTGGGGTGTGGGCGGGGAGCGGCGGAGGGAGGAGGCAGAGCTGGCCGCCGCAGTTTGCCGCCGCCGCTGGGCGCCTAGGCAGAGCTTCCCGGGGTTCGTGCGGCCGCCATGGACGAGCAGGCGGGTCCCGGCGTCTTCTTCAGCAACAACCACCCGGGTGCTGGCGGCGCTAAGGGACTCGGGCCTCTGGCGGAGGCTGCAGCGGCCGGAGACGGGGCTGCTGCGGCGGGGGCGGCCCGCGCTCAGTACAGCCTCCCCGGGATCCTGCACTTCCTGCAGCACGAATGGGCCCGCTTCGAGGTGGAGAGAGCCCAGTGGGAGGTGGAGCGGGCGGAGCTGCAGGTAAAGACCCTCCCGGCCTGGCCATCTTCATCCCGCCTCTTCTCTCTCTTCCGCCCCGCCCCGGACCCCCCCTCCCCCAGCCCGCTCGCGTCCCCTCCCCCCTTGCCTCGCGCCCATCACCTCCAGAATCTCATCCCCTTTCCCCCAGTCACCTTTGCCTTTTGCCTGACCCGGTTTCCTGAGACCCTGTCTCCCACGCCCTGTCCGCCGCCAGAGCCTTTTCCCCGGCCGCTTCCCACTCCCAACTCCCGTGTTCATTTCAATCAACTGTTTGCGGTGCCACATCATGGGTCGTCCCTTTCGGTTTGCTGATTGGGTTGACAGTAGTTTTGAGAGATTCTGAGCAAACCATCCTGGCTCCGCGTGATGCACCCTAGGTCTAGGGACATGCCCCGAAAATGTTTTGGCAGTTGGCTGCTCTTCCCTGCGAGGAAGGTGAGCAGAGAAGACCACACGAGGTGTATCCGTGAGGCCCTGGCTTTCTTGGAAAAGCTGGTGTAGGGCTGGAGTGTTGCTAACAGGATGAGTCCCAGCTGTGTGTCCGAAAATGTTTCTTCGCCCCTTTTCTGCCTCGTACCCCCCTCCCGGTTTCGTGGGTTTTCAGTGAAGGGACGAACTGATGGGAGGCAGGGGAGTCCGAGATGGCACCTTTCCCAGGGTCTGAAACTTCCCAAGAGTTCGTTTTATGTCTAGTGTTGTGCAGGATGGACATGCACTTTAGAAGGAACCAGAGGGGCTTCAGGGTTATGCTGTCTCCTTGCATAACCGGCAAGATAAAGCCTGTCTGGCAGAAGAGAGGTTGGTGCCTCACTGGCCATGCTGAACCGGTTAATAGGGTTTCCGTGGCTGTTTACAAAACTTGAACACACACACAAATTTCCAAAGGAACTCAAAGAGCTTGTGAGTGGCTGTGCCTGTCTGTTTTTGGGGGCTAATCCTGTATGCTTACGAAATTTGAGTACACTTTTAGTTTGTGAAGCGCTTGAAGTCTGTTACTTTTTTGGTCCTTTTTTTTTTTTTTTTTTTTTTTTTGGCACACAAAACCCAGAAAGAGAAATCTGCTGAAGAGACTCCTTTGCAGACACACACTGCTTTGGTGAGGTGCAGCAGGTCATGGAAGGAGAAGACGGACGGGCAAGGCTGTGGTAAATAGTCTCATTAAAGGCCGGGCCAGCTCTGTGACCTTGAGGAGATGCCGAGACCTCTCTGGGCTTTGGTTTCGTCTTCTCTTTTTTTTTTTTTTTTTTTTTGGTTTTTACGAGACAGGGTTTCTCTGAATTGTTTTGGAGGCTATCGGTCCAGCCCGGCCTGGAACTCACAGAGATCCGCCTGCCTCTGCCTCCCGAGTGCTGGGATTAAAGGCGTGCGCCACCAGCGCCCGGCCGGTTTCATCTTCTCTTTACCCAGCTCGTGCTCATGGCTCGTCGAAGGCCCACCTTGTGTGTACTGATCCTGGGGTAACAAAACAGAAAAGCTGCTCCCCTCGTGGAGTGCCTGTTTTTGTCAGAAGGCAAACAAACTGTCAGCGAATATAACTGTGTGATATGGCCTACAGTTGCCTCTGTGAGGAAAAATAAGGATACAGGAGTAGAGCGTGGTAGGGGCAGCTGGTTTAGATGGCATGGATTCTGGGAGGTGGGTCTGGGCAATTAATCGAGGTTAGGGAGCGCCTGTATGGTTTTTTCAGTTTCTACAGTTTGTGTTCTTTGGTGACTTTCTTACGCCTGCTTTTAAGTTCCGTACTGTCTAGTCCGTTTGCTGTTTGTAAGTTTTCTCGTGATGGCTGATCTCATACCCAACCAAATGACAGAGTACACAGAACACTCTAATACGTTCTGTAACTGTATATAAAAAGTATTGTTATTATCATTATTATTGGAGGGTTTGCAATAACGCGCGATCTTTGTGGCATTTATTAATGTGGAAATTAAAAAGAAAACATAGCTGAATTTGATTCCCTGTTTGTGTGCCATTGCGCTTTTCCTAGAAAAAACATTATGAAGTACAAGAGCTAAACGAATTGTGATGACACATGGCGTCTGTCTGTGTCTTTATTTTCTGAGTCTCTTCTGAAGTCATTGACAGCAAAGTCAACAGAAGTGTCTTTAAGATTCAGGCTCATTTGTCCCTTCAGGAACCTGTCAGTCCTGCTCTTTCAAGTTGCCAGGGCTGAGTTGTGTAAGGCAATCCCAGGTTCTCCTCTGTCTGGTGGCCTTTGTCACTTCCTCCCTCCTTTAGATGTTGGGAGTGAGAAAGTAGTCACGTCAAAAAAATTTTTTAGCCCTTATTTCCTCCTTACCCATGATAGTTACTAGAAATTTCCCCCACACTCATGAGAATTGGTGATTCATGAGGGAATAAAGAATATCGAGATAATACTGAACTCGAGAAAGGAATCGAAAGAATACTAATAATGTCTGAGAGTATTTTCCATTTATGAGATATCCTAATTACCTGCAGTGCACGAGCAGCGGGCAGGAGACTAGACTGCCGTTTGCGAGGGGCAGCCGGGGAAGCTTCAGTAGCAAATGGGAAGCTGTTACGAAGCATTAAGAGCCCGAGTTTAGTACTCTCAGAGTTACAGGAACGCAGGCGTGTAAAAAAGAGTTCCTAGTCTTGGGTGATGTCTGTGTGGCAGTGGAGGAGGCTCTGGCCGCTACCTGGGAGTGCTAGAAGTGCACTATTAAGTAGCAGAGACCGTGTGGGCAGAGGTTCTGTACTGGAGTGTTCACGAATCTGCGTTTTGGCACCAATGATTTGTATTTCATTTAGCAAATATTTTTCAAGTATGCACTTCATGCCGGATCCTGTTCTGGGCATGGAGAAGATACAAGATCTTATCTCGGGGTGAAATGTAAATCATGGGGTCAGGTAAACAGTGATGAATACCTTACATTGGGAAGTAATACATGCTCTGGTAAAGGAAAGAGATAGGAAGTGAGTCTTCAGGGACAGGGTATCATTGAGCCGAAACTTTCCAAGACCTTATCTGAGGTCCAGAAACAGCCAGGAGAAGGGAGAATGCTTAGCACGTCAAAGGAGCAACAATGAGGCAAATATGACTGGAGTGCAGGGGTGGAAGGTACTGAATCCTGCCTGCTGTAAAGACTTTGAAGTTCAGCTGGATCTGGTGGCCTGTAATCTCAGCCACTTGGCAGTCTTAGGGAGAAAGATCACAAGTCCAAGGCCAGCCTGGACTATAGAGTGAATTCAAGAATGACATGGGCTGCTTAGTGAGGCTAGCTTCAAAGAAAGAGTCTAAAGAGGACTACGGTTTCAGCTCGGTGGTAGAGTGCTTGTTTTACCTCTGCAGACTGGGTAGCCCTTGCAAAAGGAGGTCTTCCAGAGGGAGCCTTGGCAGGAATTCAGAATAGGCTCACGGAGGTGAGCAGAGGGAGACTTTTAATTAATTGAGGCCTGACTTGAGAATGGGTGGTAGCGGTGAGATTTTTTGCATATACATTTTGTTGATGTATCATCAAGGTATAGTGGATTCTGAACACAGGAACCCTGACAATTAGCCAGGTGTGCTGAGGGGCAGATGTAAAGTTTGAGGAAAGGGGGACTGACTATAAACAATCCAGACACGTTGCTATTGAACACAGTCGAAAGACATTTACTGAGCATTTAAATGAAAAATGTATAAACTTTAAAAATGACTCTTTTTTAGCCCGGCCGTGGTGGTGCATGCCTTTAATCCTGCACTTGGGAGGCAGAGGCAGGTGAATCTCTGAGTTTGAGACCAGCCTGGTCTATAAGAGCTAGTTCCAGGACAGCCTCCAAAGCCACAGAGAAAGTCTGTCTTGAAACCCCCCAAAAATGGCCATTTTTTGGGTAATTATTTTCCCATATCATGAAATGTAACAATAACAGAATGGTTAATAAATCCATACTATAAATTTACTATTTCTTTCCTATAATACTTATTTGCCAGAAGTCTAACCTCTCAGAGCTTTCATTTCCTCCCGTGTAAGGTGAGCATAATACATTCCCTTGTGAGAATTAAGTGAGGTTATTCTAAAGTCCTAGTATGTGCTTGGTGTGTAAGTCAAGTAGGTGCTGAATGAGCAGTAGGAAATGCATGATGTTACCTTTTTACTCCCATTCCCTTTGAGAAAAGGATAATCTTTAGTCATGAACTTGTCTTGAACCAGAGCGTGATGGTGCCTTCAGAGACCATGAAGTCTCATATTCTGGGTCTGGTGCTGGCACTAAAGCCACGTAACAGGAATGATAGTCTTTAGTGTCTGCTTAAAACATTGGGTGTATACTACAAACGTACTTGTTCTCAACAACCCACCGTGTGACTACACGTTAGTGAATGCTGTCAACTTTGCATTACATCTTGAGTAACAAATTGTGTGCATTTACTAACCATCTTATAAAACTAACCATCTGTTTTATCGTTCTCTTTAAGCTACTTTTAAGTTTGGAACAAATGAACCCTCATTATATCATTTTGTGAGTAGGTTTTTTATTGTATTCATATCCTTGATAATTTTGTAATCTTTAATTATACTTTGGAAGGATTACAGGGATTTTACTCTTTTAAGGCTTATCCTCTTACTTGTCAGTTCAGTTCAACCTTAATGGCAATCTTGGAATAATCTGGGGCTGGTCCCTGGGCTTAACCAATTAAATCAGAATGGTAGAAATTAGGCTCTAACATTAGCATTTTCTTGAGTTCCTCTGTGGTTCTAATATGCAACAAAGGTTGGCAATAAATGCTTAGTTTTTTCCTATTCTATCCTCTGTCTGTCTGTCTGTTCTCTCTCTCTCTCTCTCTCTCTCTCTCTCTCTCTCTCTCTCTCTCTCTCTTACACACACACACACTCACACACACTCACAGTGTGTATAAAGAAGTTTGGCAGTTTTCAACATGTGTTGGCATTCAGTATATGGAAGGCTTTTTATAGAATATGAGATATAATTTCAGTTAATTTCCATTGTTCTTTCTGGTGATAGCGAGCATTTTATTTTTAGGCAGTAGCCTATTATCA